AGAATCGTTGGTACAAAGGCTACGGAATACAGGGGGGGGGGGATACCCTCCCGCCCACATATATATATATATATTATACACGTAAAATGTGACTGCGTTGTGGCTCAGATGTTTAGCGTTCAGTTGACCATTCGGAGGATGCTGAACCCTACTGCCCCCCCAAACCATCCCTGGGCGAGCCAGCTCAAAAACTGCTTAGGGTTTCGGTTTTTGGCGGATTTAGGGTTCTAGAGTTCCAGGGTTTCGGGTTCAGGGTTCTAGGGTTCAGAGTTTTGGGGTTTAGGGTTCTAGGGTTTCGTGGTTTTGGGCTTTAGAGTTCAGCACTTAGAGCCAAGGATCTGTTCTTTCCAAGTGCATGGCATGCTTGAGCTCACGATTGCTACTTATCACCTCCCGTAGCAATTCTCCCGCCCCCTGGCAAGTCAGCATTTTCAATTCAACACCACGTGAAGAAAACTACAATTCAAAAGGGCGGAGAGGTGAGTACTGCTGTTGTTCATACTGTAGCTCTACTTCAGGAAGTTCCAGGGCCCAGGCCAATCGGAAGCCAGAATGCTGGAGGAAGTGCGGTCGGAAATGGTAGCGGCAGAATCCCGATGCTCCATTGTCTGACTTGCCTGATCTTGCAGAAGCATGCTTTCCAAAATCACTGGACCAAAAAGCAGGGATCCCTTATGTAAGGCTGTCAAAAAAGCGATCTTGGAAACACCATAAAGGGGCCAATAATCGAGTCCCATACAGAACAAAATCTTTTCCACTTTTCCAGACTACTGACCTAGCTTTTCCTTACCTGGTAGTTTCTTCAAACAGGGGAACCCTGTAATATGGAGTCTCAAAAATAATCTAATCTCTATTTTAGAGACGCGCCACAGGTACCCCTACATTTGGGAAACCCCCAAAGCCCTAAACCCTGAATAGTAGTTTCCATTTTCCTTGCTATTCTCCCAATTTATCCCCTTCATGATCCCCATATCCCCTTCAAAGGTAACCCTCAATTTTGGGGTAGCTTGAGACAGAGTTGCTCACGAAGCTTCCGCCCATGATGATGTGATGTCGGCCATCGAAGCAGGGCGTGGAGAAGTCATCGTAGGTCTCAGAGAACAGTTCATGGCTCAAAGGTTAAAGTGAGCTTACTGGTGATTAGTAGAGAACGGGGGAATAGAATCCCCATGTAATATGTTCCCTTATTCCCTGCTAACCCCCAGTAAGTGTATGGCTCAAGCGCCTAGACTACCAATTCCCAAAGAATTATCCTTCCCTTAGGAATTGCGTGTCTCTCAACATGACCCCTGCAGACTCCTTTAGCCACTTCCTTTTAACCCCTAGAAATCCCTAGGGTCACCCCAGTTTGAGACACCGCCCAATTCAGCGGCTGGGCTGCTGGCGTAGTGCACCTTGAACCCCTCCAGCGGATTGAAATGGTCCTCCGTCCATTCCCAAGCATTGCCTGACGGCGGCGTAGTTTCGGGTGTACGGTCTAAGGGTCATGAAGCGGCCAGCCACGAAAGCCTGTTTGCGAGAAATCCTGTAGCAGATCATGATACAGTCAGGCATCGGACAATCCGTTTCTACTTGCAATTATCTCCCGCATAATCGCTAGGCAATGTATCTTGCGATCATGCAAAGACAAAGCTTGATTCCCAGAAACCTCCGTCTAGTCAACAAGGGCACCTTGACAAGGAATATGGAGGGCATGAAGGGTCTTTCTCTTTGGTATTGACCCGAGGGCTGCGCCCATGGCGTCATGGTGTCCGGTTGGCGAAGCCGGAAGCGCATCGACAGGAGACTGGGAGGCCTCTGTGGAGAGATGGGCGAATATCTTCCAGAACGATGTAATAAGACATATATATATATATGTAGACACACATGAGCCTGTATGTAGTGAGTCTATGATGCACATATACGGACATGCTTTGATCAATCGAGGCACTATTCAGCACCACTGCCCTCTTTACTCGATCTTCCCCAGAACAAGCGAGGTGTCGCCTAGCGCTTCATTGCTAAATTTTGCGGCCCATCCTTCCCAATGAGCTTTCCTACATGCATGAACTATCTGGGAATGGACAACATTCAACGCTAGGGGCGGTGATGATTGGACACGTGGAGCTCTAGGTTGCGGGTGCGTCAGAGAGTGAGATTTGGATGTTCCAGTGCTGTAGCGATTGGTGTTCAGGGCTTTCTTAAGCGTTTCAAGTCTTCGAGGCGAACCGAGGCTTTCTGGGTTAAGTCTGAAATCACGCAGTGGGATTCCATTTATCCAGATGGCGTGCGACTCTTGAGGATACAGCAGTGGCAGCGGCAGCAGCAGCTGCTGCTGCTGCCGCCGCTGCTGCCATCACTGGTACTGACCATTCCAATGAACTCTCTAATTTTCCTTCTTGGAAGCAAGGATTGCTGCAACATCTGCGGAAAGTCTGTGCAAAGCAACTAGCTTCGCGCAAGCTGTGCAACGCCTGCCTGAACTTCCTACCCATCTGAGGTCACAGCATAAGCCAAGTTGGCATTGGCTGCGGTCGAGGCAGAACCGGCATACTCTGCACCACCTTGCGCAGTTTGAAAAGTTTATGCTCATGTGAACCTTGCGCTAGATCCTGGTTCATGCTTGCTCTGGGAAAGGACAACCCCTTATGAGCCCAATGTGTCGAAAACCACCAGACGTGGTCCCCGACCAGGCGGTCGCAACACCCGGGCCGATTCGTATGTGGGCTATAATGTATACCCCTAGTAGCCCCTATTATACTCCCCTATAGAGAACTCCTTTAAGGAGTGTAGCTCAGAGCCATGCTCCAAGAGAACAGGTACTGTTGGACTTCTGCAGGCCCGGATTGCAAATAAAACCCGGGCAATCCCACACTATACATGCCACCTTACCGGCCTAAGTGCTATGGCAGGGTCGGAAAGAATTGTGCGCAGGATTCCTCATGAAAATGTCTCTCAAGTCCAAATGCGGAGCAAGTCCTCGCAGTCCACAATGAGCAATCCGAAGGATGCCATCCCTTACTGTACATGATGGGGTCAGGTGCGAACCTAGCGAACAGAAGCAACCAAACGGGCCATACAAAATACATATGTGTATGTGAATGTGGGTAGGAAATCCCAAAGCCACATGCCATGATGACCCCTTTTTCCTAGACATCCGCAGGTACAAGGCAAGCCCCGCTTCCCCAACAAAGGACACAGATTCCCTTGACCCGCTGAGTCATCATCCCTAAACTCACTTTCTTTTGGAGCCTGCCAGGCTCCTAAGAATCACTGGGGCTCAAGCATGAACCTGAGCCCATATAACCCTTTATAGTAGTTTACATTTCATTTTCCATTATCCCAATATATCCCCTATATAATCCCTATAAAATGTAGTAGTTTCCATTTTGTTTTCTGAGAAGCCTCAGACCCTGTCCTACTGGATCCCTCTACCCTACAGCCTTAACCCCCAAACACGAACCTACAGCCCATACAGCTCTCTCGCCCTGAGCCTGCATGCATGGCCCGATCATAGCCGCTTTCGGCCATTTTCTCAGGGCGTGCCTGTGGGCCAACTTTTGGGGACTCTGCCGCCTTAGGCACGCAGGGTTCAGGAGTTGGGGAATTTTAGGTTTCGAGGCCTTTCAACACGGGAGAGTGCGAGGGGGCGAGAGTTTCCATGTGGGAAGTTCCTTTGCAAGGGTCCCAAACTTCACCCCGACCTCTCCAAACCCTGAGATCACAATTGATCTCTGCCAAGAGGACCAGACATCGTTCTTGAATACAAGAGGAGTCATGGATGTTAGGGATTGAGAGGTCTCGTGATGGAAGCCATGGACTATTTAGGGAAAGGTACAGGATGGAGTTAAGGTCATGGGAAGCTTTGAAGTTCAAGAGGCGATGTGGCTTCAAGAAGGCATGCCTGACACCCTGGTCATGGTAGCCAGGGGGCCACCCTACAACCTCTGAGAGGCCTGTGTTGTCAAACGCATCCCATACCACGCAGTGCTTAACACTTCATAGGCTACAGGAACGCTAAGAAAGAATAAGGGCTTCATGATTCAAATCGGATTGCTTCAGAGCCCAGTTTAGGACATGTAGTACCCCACAAAAGCCTGAAAACGGGCCTCTGGATGACGGATGAGGTGGTGTTCCGCCTCCGTGATCACCCTGTAGGCCTGCAGCTATTGAGGCTTTTAGGGTACCTCTGGGATGAGGGCTTAGGATTTAAGGCTCACTGTGACATTTGGATCTAAGGCTTTTGAGTCAAGTTGCAGGGTTTGTGTAGGATTTAGCCTCCGGAGTTTGGGCGTTTGGGCTTGGGGCTTAGGATTTGGAGCTTGGGGTACCTAGGCCGGAGGACTCTTTAGCGACCACTGTTTGTGGTGCCGAACATCCCCTGCACTCTTCCGAGTCAATTGAACTGTGTCCAAATGCTGGTGAGTTGCAATTGTAACGGTGCCAGCTAGTAAAACCAGTTGTGGTAGTAATAAGGAGGGCGGCGGCGGTGATGGTGGCGCCTGCGGGGACGGTGGCGCTGGTGGTCGTCGCAGTCGCGGTGGTCGTGGTCGCCGTGGTGTCCGTCGCCGGCGGCGGTGGCGGCGGGGGGGAGCAGTGGTGACGGCGTAGGTGGAGTAGAGTGGAGTGGAGTAGGAGTAAGATCAGAGTAGAGGAGGAGGAGGAGGAGAAGGAGAGGGAGGAGTAGTAGCAGCAGTAGTCTTTAGTAGCTGCAGCAGCAGGAGCAACAGCAGCAAGGCCATAGCTGGCAAACCGGAAAAAAAAAAAAAAAACATGTTCTGCAATAGCAAGAGTTACACGAAGGGCACTCCCTGCATGACCTAGTTTAGGACTAGGAATTCCGGCACTGATGCTACAAGCCTTACGAAAGGCTTCAGAATTAAATGTTGTATGCTGTCGGCATTGACTCTAGCGAGGGACTGTCTACTAACTGCACAACAGCAATCATTGTTCTCATGTAGTAAGACGTGTGATAACAAATGGGAAGCAAATTCAACACTATCCACGGCCGTGCACATATCTGTTTCTGAATCCTGATATGGAGCAAAGCTGGATGATCGTAGCAGTCAGTTAGAACTGACAAGGAAACTTTCAAGCCATGGAGAATGCTGCTTACAGAGCGCGGTAACCCGGACTATACAGGTTTGACCACAAAAAGGAATTGCTTGAGAATGACGTTGCCTGGGGACCAAATGGAGCCCTGGAACCCCACTGCAAATGCCCACCTCTTCATCCTCGTCATCATCATGACAAATCCAGAAAATTTTGTAGTGATGGTTTTTATCCTACCGTGTCGCAGTAGTCAGGACGGAAATCGCCACGTGGCAGGATCCTCTTATTTTTTTGGAACAATCCAACACACTCCGAGACATGGAGCTCGCAAGGTGCCTGTCAACCTTGAACTACTAGTTTAGCTAGGGTGTAGAGTTTAGGGTTTGTGCACATCTTTCCCAAGGCCACCCAGCTGCTCCGTCTAAGGCGCGGAATTTCACGAGAAGGGAAGGCCAAAAATTTGAACACCTACTCATAGCCCCGCCCACTCTGCCTCTTCTGGAAGAGTATATGCCATGACATACAAGGACTTGCTTAGGCTTCTCCCCTATGCTATGATTCTGTCTCAAAATTACCTTCAATCACCAACAATGCAAGCTCCCAAATAACACACTCCCAAACATGAGGACCCCAAAAGGACCGCAAATTCGAGGGAGCGCTTGCCTCAGGGCTTCCTGCTAACCCATCCTGGCTGAGCAAGGTCATACAAAATACTAGCCTACAAGGGTTAGGGCGGTTAGGGGTTTAGGGTTTACCATTTGTAGGGTTTAAGGTTTGGGGCTAGGGTTTGGGTTTTCGGCCTACAAAGCCGGAATAAGGCGTGACGCGGAATTCTGAGCTCAGCTTTTTCTAGGCAGGGCCCCTGCAATAACCCTGCTGTTGCCAAGGCAGGAAGGGGGCCCCTAGCTTGAATCAAAGCATGTTTCCTTGAACTGTGAGTTGTCCATGATGTTTTGTAAGTTTGATGGGTGATTATCAAATAGCAAGGGTGGTCACGCAATTCCTAAACTGGCTCTGGTCCAATATCAAGCCTTTGAAGCCCTCGAAAAACAAGGGCTGGCTTTTAGGTTGCTAGGGGCCTATGTCTGGATCAGAGGTGCAAACAGCAAGTTCAATGAAGGTCACGGTGAACCCTCAAACACTCCATGAACTCCAATGTTGACTGCTGATTTCGGCTGGTGGATGAGCTGGACTAACCCTCATGCTGGACAACTGGCTAAGAAGTCCAGCATGACTAATTTCGGAAACGCCGCGGTTCTCAACAGTCAGCAGCCCGAAGATAAAGCACAAGTATGAGTTTTGCTTTCGCGTGATTTTTCTTCACGTCACTTCGATAAAACCCCAATCTCGAGTCTCCACGAAGCAGGGCCGCACCGTGCATAAATGCACGAATTATCTGCCGTGTTGGCACTACTCTGACGAGCACCTGAGAAACAGTGTGCCAACATCGCCAAATTCTTAGGCTCCAGCAAAGCATAATCAAGCAAAGCATACTTTCAGTGATTCAAGCTCTTGAAGTTTACCTTGAACCGCAACCTTCCCTTGCAGCCCACCCCAGAACGTTATGCCGAAACCTCGCGAAAGCCCTTCACTATTGCAACAACAGAGGCCTCAAAGAACTGCCTGATCCCCAAAGAACCACAGTTCTGGTTGCCCTTCTCAAGCTTAAGCCCAGTCAGCCCATAATTGAAGTTGCCTGCTCCGATT